TCCTGTCCTGTTCCCTGTTTTCTCCCTCTTTCGATGTCTGTGCCCTTTGCCTTTCTGAATGAGGATTGAGCATCTTACCCAGGGTTCTCCTTTTTGCTTAGCTTCCTTAGGTGTACAGATTTTAGTATGATTTTCCTATATTATATGTCTAATATCCACTTATAAGTGAGTATATACCATGTGTGTCTTTCTGCCTCTGGGATACCTCACTCAGGATGATCTTTTCTAGTTCCCACCATTTGCCTGCAAATTTCATGGTTTCCTTGTTTTTAATTGCTGAGTAGTATTCCATTGTGTAAATGTACCACAATTTCTGTATCCATTCCTCAACTGAGGGACATCTGGGTTGTTTCCAGATTCTGGCTATTAGGAATAAAGTTGCTACAAACATGGTTGAGCAAATGTCCTTGTTGTATACTTGAGCATATTTTGGATATATGCCTAGGAGTGGTATAGCTGGATCTTGAAGTAGCACTATTCCTAATTGTCTAAGAAAGCTCCAGATTTATTTCCAAAGTGGTTGTACAAGTTTACATTCCCACCAGCAATGGAGGATTAACTTATCTTTTTATTTTTATTTACTTATTTTGTTTTTTTTTTTTTTTTTAAGACAGGCTTTCTCTGTGTAGCCTTGGGTGTCCTGGACTTTGTAGACCAGGCTGGCCTTGAACTTATAGCCATCTGTCTGCCTCTGCCTTCTGAGTGCTGGAATTAAAGGCCTATGCCACCATGCCCTGCTGTTAAATCATCTTATTTAGACTTTTATATCTTCAGATGTTAATAATTATTATATACAATAATAATTGTATATAAAAGATATAAATTAATAATTTATATCTTCAGATGTTAATTAGTTGAATTTAGTTTTTTATTTTTAATTTTTTCTTCATAATTTATTCATTATATATTCTGATTGAAGCCCCCTCCCTCAACTCCCTCCAGTCCCACTCTCCCTCCTTTTTTCCCCTGTCCCCTTCCCCTGGTCCACTTAAAGGGGGAGTTCTCCACCATTGCCATCTGCCCATAGCTTGTTAAGTCTCATCAGGACTGCTTGGATCCTCTTCCATGCATGGTCCTCCGTTGGTGCATCAGTCTCTGTAGGGCCCCCTGGGCTCAGATCCCTTAGCTTTGTTGGTCTCCTCGTGGGGCTCCTGTCTTCTCCATGTCCCTCTATTCCCACCCCTCTCTTCTTCCAAAAGACTCCCTGTGCTCTGGCCAAAGTTTTACAGTGAGTCAGACTCCTATCCAGTTTCCTCTCTTCCACCGCTTCTGGTGTCTATCTTGTTTGCCATTCTGAATGTGATTTAAGCATCCTCCCTAGGGTCCTCCTTAGTGTTTAGCTTCTTTAGGTCTGTAGATGGCTATCCTGTATTATACAGCTAATATCTGCTTATAAGTGAATATATACTATGCCTGTCTTTCTGTTTCTGGGTTACCTCACTCAGGATGATCTCTCTCTTCCATCCATTTGCCTGCAAATTTCATGATGTCCTTGTTTTTAATGGCAGAGTAGTATTCCATCGTGTAGATGTACCACAATTTCTGTATCCATTCCTTCTTGAGGGACATCTAGGTTGTTTCCAGATTCTGGCTATAAAAAGCTGATATGAACACAGTTGAGCAAATGTCCTTATTGAATGGTAAAGCATCTTTTGGGTTTATGCCCAGGAGTGGTATAGCTGGATCTTGAGGTGGTGCTATTCCCAATTTTCTGAGAAAGTGCCAGATTGATTTTCAAAGATGTACCACCAGCAATGGAGGATGGAGGAGGGTTCCCTTTTCTCTACATCCTCTCCAGCATGTGTTGTCACTTGAGTTTTTGATCTTAGCCATTCTGATAGGTGTAAGATGTAATCTCAGAGTTGTTTTGATTTGCATTTCCCTGATGACTAAGGATGCTGAACATTTCTTTAAGTGTTTCTCTGCCATTCGATATTCCTCTTTTGATATTTCTCTACTTAGCTCTGTACCCCATTTTTAATTGGGTTATTTAGTTTGTTGGTGTCTAATTTCTTGAGTTCTTTATATATTCTGGATATTAGCCCTCTATCAGATGTAGGGTTGGTAAAAATCTTTTCCCAGTTTGTAGGCTGTCATTTTGTTCTGTTGACAGTGTCCTTTGCTTTACAGAAGCTTTTCAGTTTTATGAGGTCCCATTTATTGATTGTAGATCTTAGAGCCTGTGCTGTTGGTGTTCTGTTCAGGAAATCATCTCCTGTGCCAATGAGTTCGAGGCTCTTCCTCACTTTTTCTTCCAACAGATTTAGTGTGTCTGGTTTTATGTTGAGGTCTTTGATCCACTTGGACTTTAGTTTTGTGCAAGGTGATAGATATGGATCTATTTGCATTTTTCTACATGTGGACATCCAGGTAGACCATCACCATTTGTTGAAGATGCTGTCTTTTTTCCATTGTATGGTTTTGGCATCTTTGTCAAAAATCAGGTGTCCATAAGTGTGTGGGTTTATTTCTGGACCTTCTGTTTGATTCCATTGATCCACGAGTCTATTTCTATGCCAGTCCATGCAGCTTTTATTACTGTTGCTCTATAGCACAACTTGAGATTGGGATGGAGATACCTCCAGACGATCTTTTATTGTAGCAGATTGTTTTCACTGGGTTTCCCTGTTGGGAGGTTTTTATAATTTATGCAAGCCTTAAGCATCTTCATTCATTCATTCATTTTAGAGAGTAAAATGATTTTTATTTGCTGTCAAAGTCTGATTTTAGGTTTCCTTAGTATATTTTCATGTTATTAAAAGCAAAGGCCAACTAGTCCTCAGACTCTGCCCCATCTTCAGCTTGACTAATCGGGAAAGAACGAAGTCTCCTTGCTAGATGCAACCACGCGAAGCCAATCACAGAGATTATTCTTCTTGAGGTATTTCTTGGGAAGCTATTAGAAACGCCCTTCGAGGACCGTTTCTCAGAAACAGCTGTGCTTTTATTCTTCAGGTATTCGATGTGAACAACATTTTCGAGATTTCCAGTTTTTCCACTGACTTTAACCTTCTCCCATAGAAAGTGTTCAAAATTTCCAGAATCAAAACTTCCATCTTCTACTGGATGAGTAAGGTCCAGATGAAACCTCCAGGAGGACTTCTTGTCTTTCTGTGGCTCCATGTTGGGCTTTGGCCATGGGAAGAGAGCCCCAGTGATTTATTACTGGACACATATAAGTAGTTGGTTACTGAGAACAATCTTGGCAAATGAAGTTCCTTTAAATCGTAAAGGTTACATCTGAAACCTGTTTTTCCTTTGATGTCAAGCCTTTTAGTAGGACAAACCAGTCTGTGACTTTGTCTTTTTCATTGGGTGACCTAATAGCTCTAGAAAAATCAAGCCTGGTTTTTATGTGTGAAATGCATTGGCCAGGCAGCCGCTGCTAAACTGACAAAACTGCAAGCTGTCAACACCATCAGCGATCTGAGAAGGAAGAATTAAAGGAGGAAGTATAATCCAAATGGCCTATGTTTCAATTAAAATGACACAGACTTATCCACTACCTACATGGTTGTCCTAGACTCCTATGGTCTCAATGGCTTTGTTGGGGACAGTGGTCCCAGGTCTTCAGCTGTTACATAGGAAGGACAGAATTATATCTTCAGTTGCTGCACAGAACAGCATAGGCCTTTGGCTGCCAGACTCGGAACTGAGAGATTTCCCTGTGAGGAGTAACATGGGAGCATTGACCCCGCTTTGCCTTAGGCAGAGCAGGGCAGCCAAGCCAACAGTGTCCACAGAGCACTAGTGGCAGGCAAGGCATGGGGTAGTTTTTCCTAGTGGTTAACTTTACCACAATCCACACGGAGTCTCCTGAGCCCAATCTGTCCTCTCTGGAGACCTTAGGGCTGCTTCTGAGGCCCGGCAGCTGTCTATCACAGGAAGCTTTTTCCATTAAACGCTTTATTAGGAGACAGTTTCCTTTACCCAGCCATCTCAAGGAACAAGTCCCACCTCGCTGGCAGTGTCAGAAATGAGTTCAGACTGCCAGGCCCTGGAACCCAGTGCCTGTCTTCCTCCTTCAGGTGTTTCAAGTTTGTCCATTAACCAGTAAAGGTTGTGAAGAGGGAAGTTGCCGTTACAAGTTATCGAAACTAAGGCACCCAAGCTGTAAATGTGTTACCTGTCTTGCCTTAAAGCTTGCCCACTCCTTTGTTCCCCTCTCACCCTAAATTCCAGGCCAAAGTCCAAGGGAGGATGTGACTGCAAAAAGCTGAGTTGGGGGTCCTGAAACCAGATGACCTGGAAACGACCAGTCACCTAATTTTGCTTTCTTGCTCAACCCCTTGTGTCAAAATATGATTGGTCAATACAATAGCCCACCCCGCTTCTCTTCCCAACCTTTAAAACTGTTGTACACTCTCCCTTCGGGGCCCCGGTTTCAGATCCTGAACTGGCCGCCTCCCTGTGTGTGCAGAAAATAAAGCTTGCATTTTAAGCTTCTGCCTGTGAAGTGAGTTTTTCTTGGCTTCCACCCTGAACCCAACAATTTTAAATGTCATATTCAGCAGATGTTTAACTTCTGAGCCTTTCTCTACCACTCAAGGGCCGAGACTACAGCCGTGTGTACAGTCAAACGCGTGGTGGTGCTGGCGATGGCGCCCAGAACTTCATGCATGCTGGCGCACAGTTTTTCACCAAAGATTGTTCAAGGAAGGCTTGTGTGGTGGGGTTTGTTCTACATGAGACCCTGTGTTTAAAAAAAGGCGGGGATGGGAGAGGTTGGATTGGAGGGAGAGCACTGGGAGCCTCACTTCTAGGCGCCTGCAGAAGCCTAGGCAAGCCAAGTTCCAGGGCCTTTCGTGTGCAGACCTCCGTCTTCCGCCCGGCCCTGCAGCCCTCCTCTGCATTTCCGCCCTCACCTCAAACGCCCAATCGCAGAGGCCTCGCCGGTTCCGCTTACCGCTCCAACAAATCACAGCTAAGAGGTGGCCCCCGACATTCTGGTACAAAGATCAATAGAAATGTAAGATCGTAAGCTGGGCGGGACGGACTGCGGCCAAGGTGCATGCGCACTTCAGGCAGCCAATAGCAAGCAGCGCGTTTGCGGGGGACTCGCAGCCGCTCCCCGGGGCGGTGGGGCGGGGTCCAGGGTCCCAAGCCTGAGCGCTCTGGAAACGGTGAGTGAGAGAAGGGGCGCCCCTGAGACGGCAGGGGGAGGGGGCCGGGGACTTGCGATCCCCGGAGTTGGACTCGGAGCGTCCGCTGTGTCCGCACTGGTCGGGAGCCTGGAGAGCGCGCAGTGCAGTTACTGCCTGGGCCAGATGTTTTCGGGCGGTGGGTGGGGAGAGGCAGCTTCTGCCTAGTACACACTTCGTGGATTTCGTTTTCAGGCCTGGCCCGGGGTCCTTACGAGTGGAAAAGGAGGAAGTGGTTTCTTCTAAAAGCCCCTGTTCCCAGGCTGGCGTCTTGAACAGGAATAGATTATGACCCCCGTCTAATAAAAGCTTAATGTACCAGACACTTTACCCTTCAGCCTTTGAGGTAGCTACTGGTACCTGCTCTCTTTCCCGATAAGGAAACTGGCCCAGAGAGGAGACAGGATCCGACAGATCTGACTTTCGGTGCTCTTACCGTCACTTAAATCATTAAGGCTGGTGGGCTCACGACTGGGCGTGATGGCCTATGCTTGTAATTCCAGCACCCGCTCAAGAGGCAGAGGCAGGGGGAGCTGTTGTGAGCTCTAGGCCTGTCCAGGCTATATAGTAAAATGCTGCCTTAAAAGAAAAAAAAATGTATGTATATATGTGTGTATATATGTGTGCGCGCCGTGTGTGTGTGTGTGTGTGTGTGTGTGTGTGTGTGTAAATGCTGAGTATGGTGCATTATTCCTGCATTTAGAAGACTGAGGCAGAAGGATCACCATGAGTTGGAGGTCAGTGTGAGCTACAGTGTGAGTTCCAGGATAGCCTGGGTCACACAGTTAGACAAACATCGATAAAATAAAATAAAGCAAAATAAAGCAGATAGCCTCAGTTGGTAAAGTGCCTGCAAGCAAAAGGACCCACGTGTGAATCTTAACACTCAGGTAAAGTGGGGTCTGACAGCAGGCACATGTCATCCCAGCCCTAGGGGACAGGAAGCTCCTAGGGGGGCTCCCAAGACAGCAGCCAAGACAGGTTTAGTAAGACCCTGTCTCAAAAAGCAAGGGGCAGGGGCAGGGGCAGGAGAGATGCCTCAGGGTTAAAAGCACTGGCTGCTCTTCCAGAGAATCCAGACCCGCTTCCCAGCAGCCACATGACAGCTCAAAATCATACGGAAGTGCAGTTCTCGGGTATCTGACTCCTTCCCTCTGCTGGCTGCTGTCAGTACCAGGCACATATGAAGTGCAGCACAGACATACATGAAGGCAAAATGTTTATGGACATTACAAAAAAAAAAAAAGATGGAAGCCAGGCAGCGGTGGCGCACGCTTTTAATCCGGCATGGCAGAGGCAAGCCATCTCTGAGGCCAGCCTTCTATACAGAATAGTTCCAGGACAGCCAAGGCTACAGAGTGTAAAGTAATAGAGGAAGGACCTATGTCCACTTCTGGCCCCCGTATGTGCACACAAGGAGCAAACTTTCACATTCAGCTGCACACGCATGCATACACACTCGAGTATACCATGTACATATATGCCTGCACAGGAATTCATACACTGTGCAGACGCCCCGTACACCATATATACACATGCATGCACAGTACACATGCATACCTTCACACATATAGAGTACCTCCTCATGCCCTATCCATGCACACATCTGATTTATGTACATACATGCATAACCATGTATGCACACACATGCACACACCATGCACACACTTGGACCATGCTCACACTTTTTTTTTTCCCTTTTTGGTTTTATGAGACAGGGTTTCTCTGTGTAGCCCTGGCTGTCCTGGAACTCGCTCTGTAGACCAGGCTGGCCTTGGTCCACCTACCTCTGCCTCCTGAGTGCTGGGATTAAGGGGGGCGGTGTATAAAGCCTTGTCCCTGAAATGTGAGGAGCCAGGTGAGCATTCCCATAAGGGGAGTCCGAGCAGCCCTGGTCACTTACGGGGCCGGATACTGGGCACTGAGAAAAGACTCAAAATGCTGAAGCTCGTATTTATTTCTGTTTGTGTGTGCATGCGTAAGTGGAGGTCAGAGGACAGCTCAGAGCAGGGTTCTCTCCTTCCCCTGTGTAACTTAAAGGGACTGAGCTCAGCTCGTCAGGTTTGGCCACTAGTCCCTTTACCTGCTGAGCCATCTCACAGGCCTGAAGTGAAGGCTGCCTTTTGGTGGTCCTGGGCTTAAAGCCCAGGTCATAGTTCATGCAGGACACATGCTGCGCTGCTTGCAACCCCTCCCCTCCCAGTGGGTTCTCTTTGGGTCATATACGGTCGTTATTGTTCTTCCTGCCTCGCTCAGGCCCTGCTGACCTAGTACCATGCAGAACCAAGTTGGAAGATCTTTCCACAGCCACAGCTTCAGCGTCTCTGATTCATGCGGGGAAACGGAGGACCAGTGGACCAGCAAGGCTAATTGCATTGCCTGAGGTCGCAGACGAAGTTCCAGGACATCCAGCCAGGTCTGTCTCATCAAGTCTGACCGCCCTCTGGGAGCTTGGTTCAGAGCAGATACTGATTGATTGGCTCAGTGACGCACTGATTGAGACAGCATCTCACTGTGTAGCCCTGGCTAGCTTGAAACTCTTCTACTTAGACCAAGCTGGTCTTGAACTCACAGAGTTTTTGGGTGAAAGGCACGCACCACTGAGCCTGCCTTAAATTTATTTTAGTTTGTTGTTGTTAAGGTGTTTTCGTAGGGTAGGTGTGGCACATGTGGAAGTCAAGGCGACAACTTTTGGGGAGTCAGGTCTCTCCTTCCATCATGTGGGTGCCAGGGAAGAACTCAGATTACAAGGCTTAGCAGCAAGCATCTTTTACGCCTTGAGCCATCTCCCTGGCCCCTGTTTGTTTATGTTGAGACAGGATCTTATGTAGCCCGGGCTGGCCTTCAATACCTTACGTATCTGAGGATGGCCTTGAACTCCTGATCTTACTGCTTCCCTCTGAAGTGCTGGAATAGCAGGTGGGTGCTCCCCTAAATGTGCACCGCAGAGTTGCTTTTCAGACTGTTGTAAGGACAAAGCTGGCCGTGGAGAGTCCTGTGCGCAGCTCCAACAGACAGAAGGCCGAGTGAGGAGGCTTTGGAGTTCAAGGCCAGCATGAGCCAGATAGACAGACATTGTGAACCTCATTGCCCTTCCAGAAACAAGGCAGGAGGGTGCAGCTTACTGGCACTGTTGTATATCTGTAGTTCCAGTTACTGAGAAGGCTGAGGCAGGTGAATTGCTTGAATGTAGGTATTGAAGAACAGTCTGAAAAAAGCATTGTAAGATCTTTTTCCAGGGTGTGTTCAGACTAAATAAATACTTCCCAGGAGGTAGATGACATACATTTATTTGTTTGTTTGTTTATGTTGTTTTTTTGAGACAGGGTTTCTCTGTGTAGCCCTGGCTGTCTTGGAACTCACTGTATACAACAGGCTGGCCTCAAACTCACTGAGATCCTCCTGCCTCTGTCTCCCAAGTGCTGGGATTAAAGGCATGTACCATCATTCTGGGCCAACACACACCTTTAATCCCAGCACCCTGGAGACAGAGGCAGAGGCAGGCAGATCTCTGTGAGTGCGAGGCCAGCCTGTGTACATAGTAAGTTCCAGGCCAACACCAGGGCACAGTGAGATCCAAAGAAGCAGCTGTACACCTGTAATCCTAGCACTTGAGATTCAGACATGAGGATCAGAACTGCAAGACCATCCTGGGCTACATAGTGAGTTCGAGGCCAGCCTGGTCAACCTGAGTTTTTTTGTTGTTTGGTTTTTGTTTTTTTGAGATAGGGTTTCTCTATGTAGTCCTGGCTGTCTTGGAACTGACTCTATAGACCAGGCTAGCCTCGAACTCCAAAATCTGTCTGACTCTGCCTTCCAACTGAGAATTTTTTTTTTTTTTTAAAAGAACAAATAGGGCCTAGCTATGGTCAGAGGCTTGGTACTTGGCATTCTTCCAGAGAACTGGAGTTCGCTTCTCAGGACCCACATCAAGTGGCTCATGACTGCCTGTCCCTCCAGTTCCATGGGAGTCAGTGGCTTCTGTGGACACCCACACACAGTTGTGCATACACACAGATCTTTAAGTAAGAGAGTACAGTTGGAGGCAAGTCTGGGCTACGAAAGAGTCTGTCAAAACGGAAATGAAACAAAAACATAGGATGGCTTTGCCGTCACTAAAAATGGGTCGCAGCTGGCTAAGCACCCCCGCCTGTCCTCCAGCAGCCCAGTGAGTGGTGACCAGCATGCCTCTGTGTCGGCGGAGAGCCACCCGGGAAGAGAGCAAAGCGGATGGCACAGAAGCTCAGCCCATGGTGCCCACAGAAAGCTTGACGGTGCTGCTGCACTGGGCGGGCCCTGAGGGCGGGGAGCCCTGGGTCACCTTCAGCCAGGCATCCCTGACTGCCGAGGAGGCCTGCATCCACATTGCACACAAAGTCGGTGAGTATGGCGCCTCAGGGTGGGTGGGGGCGGGGCGGGGCTGACGCTTTGTTCCACAGTCACTGGACAAAAAGGAGTGAGTAAGAGGGGCAGCGCCAGCTTAAGTCAGGGCCAGCCGGGACTGTTATTCTGCTGAGGCAGGGGTGTGCTTGTGCCTGTGACCTCAGAGCTTGGGAAGCTGAGGCAGCAGGATCTGTCACAAGTCCCAGGCCCAACTAACTACACAGGAAGACCCTGTCTCAGAAAGCAAGTCTGAGACTCAGTGTAGAGCTCCTGCCCGGAATCCCTCAGCGAAGGGGCTGGAGAGATGGCTCAGCGGTAAGAACACTGGCTACTCTCCCAGATGACCTGGGTTCAGTCCCCGGCACCTATGTGGCAGCTCACAACTGTCTGTGACTCTAGTTCCAGGGGATCTGGCACCCTCACATAGACAGACATCAAAGTAAAATACCAATGCACAGAGAAATAAATAAACCTTAAACATAAAAAAGAGTTCCCCAGCAAGGGGCTGCCATATGACCCGTGGAATAGCCCTAGCCTAGAATCCCCCAGTGAGGGGTTTGGGTGGGGACTAGTGAAGCCTTCCAAGTATGTGCAGGGTTCTAATTTCCATCCTCTGCACCCCCCAATCAAGTCACTAACAGCACCATTAGGCCCTCACCTCCTCAACTTGTTTTAGTCCTAATTATGTCAATGGTGCCACCCTTAAGTTCCATTAACGTGAGTTTGGTGAGTTTGGTGATTAAGATTTCAGCTTGTGAATTAGGAAATGTTCAAGCTACCACAAGGAATGTGCTGGCAGTTGGACTGTGACATCTTTCACCACCTCACTTTCTGTTGTGTTAACATGAGCAAAGGGACCTGCACCGTATAAAGAAAATAGCCTCCACGCAGGTCCAGAGGACGTGCTCGGGTTGAGGAACCAAAAGACCTTCAGGCTGACTGGGATACAGGAAGTAAAAACTGAAACTCGGGGCTGAGATCGTCACTCAGCTGGCAGGACACTTCCCAGCATTCCCAGCAGCCCAGCCTCTATCCCCAGCACCCACCCGCAGGAACCGGGAGTGGTGGTACACACCTGTCATCCCTGCCTGGGAAGTGGAGGAAAGCTCAGAAAGAAGTTCAAGGCTAGACAGCCACAAGGCAGCCACATACAGACTTTCAGCCCAGCCTGGGCTCCGAGAGACTGTCTCAGATAAGAGGAATTAAAAGCAAGCATCAGAGGCAGAAGCCAGGTCCTGGTACTCGGTCCTGAAGGGGTTGGAGTTTCTTAGTGGTCAACAGGGAGCCGTGGAAGGCTTCAACCAGAGAGTCAGGCGGCTGGCATATTAGAAGGCTATTTGACAAGCAAGGACCATGTGGGTTATTGCTATTTACTATTGATATATCTTTTAGCTAAAGCAGCAGTTGATCCTAAAGCAGCTGTATACGGAAATCCCCACACAGAGACTGGGATTTATTTAATTAACCTAGAGCACAGTGCTGGGCAATAGTTATTCTGTGCTAAACTTCCAAGCCCGCGTAGTTTCCTATCATTCAGATTTCACCCATTAGACTTGCTTTTAGTCATGTCTTAGGTCCCATCCCATCACTCCACTCTCCAAGTGGTTCCAAGTCCTCTCTGGATTCTCTCTCCTTCCTCCTGGACCAGGATGTCCCACCCTGTCCTCTGCCATTGCTCAGCATTGGGACTGGTTTTAATTGACAACACAGAGAACAAATGGTGGCGTGTTTACACACACTTGAGACAGGTGATGCTTACAATAAGCATCACAGTGCAATGTCCCATTGTCCAGATTGAAACCAGATAGTGGGGTAGATAAATTAACATTTGAATGAACAAGGGTAAAATGTTTGCAGAACAAAAGAACATTATACCAACATTTCCCCCTTTAAGTCCAATAAAAGGCGCCTTTTCTTTCAATACAATAATAATTATAAAATTGTGAAAACTGTTAGGTAAAATCTACGTGTGCAATGTCCAGTCCATGTGTATTTAGCACATGGAGAGGGTATCTTAGGAGAAAGTGTCTGATTATCCTGTCTATCTTGACAAGTTTAGAGTTCTATACCTAAATTAACTTTTTATCCTTATTGGTATTACCTATATGAAAGAATTTTCTTGAATTCTAAACAACTCAAGCTTAAATGTGGTACTGTAACTATTTGGTCTTCAACCCCACCAGAGACTTGAGAAGGAATAAAATTAGTTACTGGAGTAAATAGGAAGTGCACATTAGCAGCTTCCAAAAAATTAAAAAACTGATAGAGACAGTTTGCTGCCTGAACAGTCACCCATAACTATAACGTTGGAGCATCATTTTCAGCCTCCTGACTCAGAATATTTGACAGACATACATGTGAAGCACGAACTATTTAGGACTTGCTTGCCCTGTCTTGGCAGAGTTCGGCAGTTGACTTGTCCTGCATTTAAGCTTGCCCATTTTTGGCAAAATTTGTATGTCCTGAAGCGAGGGTATTTTCTTTACCTGAGTGGCTCATTTGCCACATTTGAAGCCATCTCCATGTGGAGGTTCTATGATGCTCATCATCTTCTCTGAGGTTGGCAGGGTGCTGCCAGGAGATGACCCATCTCATTGTCAAAGAATCTTTAAAATATTAAATAATAAAGGCATTTTTAAATGCCATATTCTGTAGGTTTCTGAAGTTTTTGAAGACTACCTATCTTTATGTAATTGATCTGTCTACAAAGTCATATTTATCTGTTAAACCTAGGATGTATATTCCTGTGATAAATTAGACTAGTGTCTAATTTAGACTGACATGACTATGAGTTGATTAACTAGCAATTAACTTGCATTACCTAATATCCTAACCAGTTTTTAATAGCAATTTAAAAGTTGAATTTGTATCAGTATACTAAAGCTTATACCAATGTATCAAAAATAGACTTTTTTTGCATCAATATGCAAAATCTTACACCAGAGTTCAAATTAATCTTATTGGAGAATAACAAATAAAACCCTAAGTTGAGTAGATTCAATAATCTACCTTTTATCTTATTATTCCTATAAAATATCCCTGTATTCTCCTTTTTTTCTTTTCAACTCCTTTTCTCCTTATCTAAGAAAGATAGAGAAAAGAAAAAGGGAAAGAGAGAAATCCCTGAGTCTAACCTTATTTCTCTCTGAATAAGACCATTAATAATTTATAAACATCTCCCAATGACAATAACCATTCATAGCCACAGAAAACAACCAAAAACCTACCCCCCCCCTTAAGGAAAATTGGACGTCGTTCTCATGGATTTCTTCTAGCTGACATTTTGGACACGCAGAAATCCTGTTAGGGGCCCAAAGAAAATTGGGAAAAAATGGTTAATTAAGCAAGCAATAACATTTGAATGTTGAGAAATTTCAGGCTTAATAACAGTTCTGTTTGGAACAGTCTGTTTGGACCAATTGAGATTAGTAGCTTTCCTCAAAGCTCTCTTGGGAGCAGGCTTAGGTGAGAAACAGCAATTGAAGCAGCTGAGGCAGGAACAAGCAGAACGCTGGAACATGTAAGATGCTGGAGCAGATGTGTTAACGTCTCAGCACGATGGAAGGATTCTGTCAGGTTTGATCCAGCGTCTCCCGTATCCAGCCCTTTTGTTCTGCAAATATATAATTTCTCACAAGTATAAAATTCTAAAATTATAAATGTATGAGATGTTCAGGATGAAACTAAACTGTAAACCAATTTTATCTATGCCAATTAAAAGAATGGCATAATAAATTTTGAGGATATTATTGGCCATGTATTGTTGGAGTTCTGGTTAGAGACATTTTATATGTCTCAGTCAGTTTTAGAGTTGTTCCCATGTGAAGGGATCATCAATTTATGTTACCTGTTCTTTTTGGTCTTCTTGATTTCTCTCTTCCTGTGGGTGGCCAAGGTCTTCCTCTGTCATGTTTGATTTTTATTAGTTTAGAAGGACCCCATAATCTCTCCTGTATGAACATACACAAAACCTCTTCCCCAACATAACACATTCCCTACTCTCCATTGTGAAGTTAGTGTATCTTGGAAATATATAGGCTGAAATAACTCAGCAGATTTTTCTTTTTCAAACCTTTTTTTTTTTTTTTAAAGATTTATTTATTATGTATACAATGTGTGTTTGCATGTACACCTGCATGTCAGAAGAGGGCATCAGATTTCATTATAGATGGTTGTGAGCCACCATGTGGTTGCTGGGAATTGAACTCATGACCTCTGGAAGAGCAGCCAGTGCTCTTAACCTCTGAGCCATCTCTCCAGCCCCCTCAGCAGATTTTTCTATAACCCAGTGTCTCTCCACAGCTGTTGTTTGTTGTTCATTAACATTTAAGAAAGTTAAGGTCAATAAAGCATTATGTAATCTATCTCTAGGGGTTTTTAATACCCCTCTCTGTTAAGCATGTCCCTTAAAGTATGATTGGATCTTTCAATGACTGCTTGGCTGGTAGGATTGTGAGGTATACCTGTTACACATTTTATCTTATGTAAGAAATCTTCCCATTTTATTAGAGACATATGCTGTGGCATTATCAGCCTTAATTTCTTTAGGTACACCCATAACTGCTATCACTTCTAATAAATGCGTAATAACCAAATCGGCCTTTTCAGAACTTAAGGCTGTTGCCCATTGAAACCCTGAATTTGTGTCTATAGTATGGTGCACTTCACCAAACTCTGTAAAATAAAGCACGTCCATTTGCCAAATTTCCTTTCTTTGGTTTCCTTTAGGGTTACTTCCTGCAGGTAGTGGAGTTTGGCTATATAAAGAACAAGTGGGGCATTTTCTCACAATTTCTTTGGCTTGTTGTCAAGTGATAGGAAACTCTTTTTAAACCTTTGCTGTTAACATTTTTTATGAAGTTCTGAGACCTCTAACACACTTCCTATCAATAGTTGATCGGTTTCATCATTGCCTTGTGCTAAAGGGCCTGGTAGGCCCGTATGAAATCTGACATGTGTTATATACAATGGGTTATTTCTATTTCTGATTACTTGTTATAATTGAAGAAACAGTGAAGTTAAGTCCAAATTATCCTGAATTAGATCAGCAGTTTCTACATGCAGAACAACTCTTTCTGCATATTGAGAATCTGTGACTATTTTAAGAGATTCCTGAAAATCTGATAACACCAAGAGAATTGCATATAATCCTGATTTTTGAACAGAATCATAAGGACTCTCCACCACTTTTATCACATTTTCTGACTTATAACCTTCCCTTTTTGATTTATTGGCATCCGTATAAAATGTAGGAGTTCCAGAAATTGGAGTTCCTTTTATTATATGAGGGAGAATCCAATTGGTTCTTTTTATAAACTGAAGTCGCTTGCTTTTTGGGTATCTGTTGTTGATTTCTCCCAAAAATTCACAACAAGCTCTTTGCCAATATTCATTGTCTGCCATAATGACACAATCTCAGCATTGGTAAAAGGCACCACAATTTCAGCTGGATCTATTCCAGCCAGTTGACGAAGTCTCATTTTCTCTTTTAGGATCAATTTAGAAGCCTTTTCTATATAGGTTTTTAATTTTGTTTGTGTGCCAAAAATATCCATTTTAAGACACAGTTCTCCCTCTGCATAAGAATTCCTGTGGGAGAATGAGTGGAGGGAAAATACAGGCCCTCTCTAGATCAACACGGTCAATACATGCATCTTGTAATTTCCTTTCTACCAGAGCCAACATCTTATTTAAGTCCTTATCACTCTGTAAAGTTTGAAATAAATTACTTAGCTCTTGAATAGCTAAACCAATGGTAGGCTGTAGCCAGTTAATATCTCCCAGCAATTTTTGAAAATCATTAAGAGTTCTTTATTGGTTTCTTCTAATTTGTACTATTTGTGCTCGAATTTTCTGTAGACCTATTTTGTATCCTAGGTAATTAATAGAATCTCCTCTTTGTATTTTTTTGGGAGCAGTCTGTAATCCCCAACAAGGCAAAGTTATATTTGTTTCATCAAAAATATTTTCTAGTGTTTTCGCATCTGAATCACTTAATAAGATATCATCCATATAGTGGTAGATTATGGATTGAGGAAATTGCTTATGAATTATCTCCAATGGCTGTTGTACAAAATATTGCCACAAAGTACGACTGTTTAACATCCCCTGTGGTAAGACCCTCCAGTGATCTCTTTATTAGACAGCTTCTATTCAAAGTGGGCATTGAGAAAGCAAACTTTCCCTATCATGTTCGTGTAAAGGAATTGTGAAAAAGCAATCTTTTAAATCAATCACTATAATAGGCCATTCCTTAGGTAAAAACGAAGGCAATGGGATTCCGGATTGTAACGATCCCATTGGCTGAATAATTTTGTTAATCGCTCTGAGATCTGTTAACATCCTCCATTTGTCAGATTTCTTTTTGATGACAAATACAGGAGAATCCCAAGGGCTGTTGGACTCCTCTATATGTTGAGCCTCCAGCTGTTCCAGGACTAGCTGTTCTAGTGCCAGTAATTTTTCTTTACTCATAGACCGTTGTTCAATCCAAATAGGTTGGTCCACCAACCACCTTAGTGGTAAGGCTGTAGGGGTTTTATCAGTAGTGGCTTCCCAACACAAAGTTGGAAAGACGGCCTCTGCTCTATTTTCCACCGTTCCTTCAGTTTCAATATTATTTAAAATTATCTTTAACTTTGGTCTTTGATCATTTATAGAGGTTTGCCAATGTATTTGTTTTTTGTTCCCTTCCTGGTGTTTTGATTTATCTATAGAACCTGCTCTGGCCTTGCTGTCTAATTTTTTAATGTTTATTCCCAGAGCAGTGGTGTTTAACTTTCTTGTGGAGGTGTGTCCCTGTCCTGTATTGGGCCTGTGAGAAGCCCCTTGGGCAGTTTTTGATAAAGGATTACCCCATTTATCTGTGACTGCTCTACATTCACTAAGCCAATGTCAACCCTTGCCACATCTTCTGTATATTCTAGGAAGCATATGCTCCCTTTCTGAATTATTTTGGTTTTTCTGGTAACTCCCTTTGTAGCAACCTTGCCCATCACAATTAGGACATTTCCCAAGGTCTTTAGGGGAGCTTCTCCTCTCAAGGTCAAATTGGGTGAATGAGGTCTGATGTCAATTGTATTTCTAATTCATTCCTCTGTTGGTGCAGATCTTGCTCTTAATGGCCTTATTACCTCTTTGCATTCGGTATTAGCATTTTCAAAAGCTAAAGATTCTATTAGTGCTTTTCTAGCTAGTGGATCTGATATACTTCTATCCACAGCTGAGGTCCATCTTTGCAAAAAGTTAGTGAATGTTTCACTTGGACCTTGTATGACGACCTGAGAGAATGGCTCAAGCCTTTTTCCTGATTCCTCAACCTTCTCCCAGGCGTTTAAAGCTGCTAGGCAACATAATGCTAAGGTTTCTTCATTATATACAGCTTGTATCTCTGTGTCAGCATATTGGTCATCGCCAGGCAGCTCTTCCTTAGAAACACCAACACCTTGGCTCTATTTTTGTGCGCTAACTCTCTAGCTTCTTCTCTCCACCATGATAGCCATTGTAAATATGGCCCAGGTTCTAATATTGCCTTTGCCATATCATCCCAGTCTTTTGGGATTACTCTACTTCTGATTGACCAGGAAGTCAGCATTTGTTTTACAAATGGTGGATACATTCCAAAATTAGTGACACTCTCCTTAAATGTCCTCAGATCTAACACTTCCACAGGGCACCATCCAGCTTCATGATAATCCTGTGGATGATCATCATCTGCTGGTCTCTGCTGTATACTGACTGGCTAAGCTAACGTTTGTTTTCTAACCCCCTTTTGTTGGCTTTATTTTTGTCTTTTGCCTCTGCCTGAGTATTTTCTTTTTTTAACAACTATGTTTTTTGTGTTTTTTTTTAAGATTTATTTTTTTATATATATATATGAATGCTCTGTTTTCACACACACCAGAAGAGGAAATCAGATTCCATTACAGATGGCCATGAGCCACCATGTCAGTTCCCATGCTGGGAACTGAACTCAGGACCTCTGGAAGAACAGTCAGTGCTCTTAACTGCTGAGCCATCTCTCCAGCCCCAGAGTATTTTCTTTACTTAGTACTCTAAACTCTTCTCTTAAGGTCTGCACCCATGTTTCATACCTATATCTTTGTTGTTTGTTTTGTTCAATAATCTCTTGAATCTCTTGTTTCATGCCTCGCTTCCAGCTTTTAATTTTTTTCTTTATTTTGTTCTAGTTGTTCTTTGTGCTGTTCCAGTATCTTTTCTGAAACCTCTGCCCTAGCTTCCTGTTGTTCATCCCGTTTTGTAAGTTTTTGTATCTCTTGTTCTATGTCCTGTATCCAACCTTCATTTTTTCTTTATATTGTTCTACTTGTTCTTTGTTGTTCCAGTATCTTTTCTAAAGCCTTTGCCTTTGAGAAGACATAAAAGGCTAATCCAATGATTAAAGTTAAATTGAGGACTATGAATGTAAACATAGTCATAATTTCTAAACTTATCTTTATTTCTGTCTTAAAAACGGAGAAGAGATATCAGCCAAGCTCCAAGAGGTCTGTTTTATTGTTTCTCCCACTCTGTTAGACTGTAGACAGTTTTGTTATGTTAAGTCTCAGGTCTGCCCACTATAGTCTTTTGCCCCAGGGCCTGTTTAAGAGTCTCTCTTAAAGAGACAGTAATTGACCTGGGAGTTTTTAAGTTTTAAGTTTGGGTTTTATCACTGGGAGCTTATTTCCCCCCACCAAATTATGATAAAGTATGATCTAAAGGGTGTGGATACTTAGATTAGTTGGGTGCCATTTGATGTGGGTTATTAATATTTACTATTGATAATATCTTTTAGCCAAAGCAGCAGTTGATCCTAGAGCAGCTGTATGCGGAAATCACTACACAGAGACTGGGATTTATTTAATTAACCTAGAGCACAGTGCTGGGCAATAGTTACTCCACCCTAAACCTCCAGGCCCACAGTTTCCTACCATTCAGATTTCACCTATTATGCTTGCTTTCAGTCATGTCTTACGTCCAGTCCCATCTCTCCACATGGTTCCAAGTCCTCTCCTCCGGATTCTCTCTCCTCCCTCCTGGACCAAGATGTCCCATCCTATCTTCTCCATTGCTCAGCATTGTGGCTGGTTGTGTTACTGACAACACAGAGAACAAATGGTGGCATGTTTACACAAATTTGAGACAGGTGGTGCTTAGAATTTACATCACAATGCAGTGTCCAGATTGAAACCAGATAGTGGGGTAGAGAAATCAGCATTTGAATGAACAAGGGTAAATTGTATACATTCCAAAAGAACGTTATCCTCACACAAGGCAGCATATTTCATTAAGCCCTCAGTGAAGTTACCTCCTTGTTGTAACTTTGGAGAGCAATCTGTGTTTATCTGATAGGCTGAAACTTTTTGTTTTTGTTGTTTATTTGTACGTCAAGACAGGGTCTCCCTCTATGGAGTCCTGAAACTCACACTGTAGACCAGGCTGGCCTAGAACTCATAGAGATCCACCTGCCTCTGCCCTCCTAGTGCTGGGATACGTCACCATGCTCAGCCTGTTTTGTTTTGTCTTTGAGCCAGGGTTTCATATAGCTCAGGCTGGCCTTCAACTTGCTGTGTAGCAGACAATGGCTTTGTCCTGCCGTGGCCTCCAGAATTCTGGGATCACATGGCACTTAGTTCAGTGTCCCTGTCCTAGCTGCAGAGGAATCTGGGAAATGTAGTTCTGGGAAGCCTTGGCATGGTGGAAATACTGAACTGCCTGTGCATATATCATTATTTGGCAACTAGTAGGCGGAAAGGGACCTAAGAAGGGTATGTGAAAGGAGTCAGTGGATTTCAGGATCCTCAGAGCTAAGGTCTACAGGTGATGGGGCTTCTAACTTCATCCCCCAACCCCTGTGTTCCAGGCATCACTCCACCCTGCTTGAATCTCTTTGCCCTCTACGATGCACAGGCCAAGGTCTGGCTGCCCCCAAACCATATCCTGGACACATCCCGAGATGTAAGCCTAAAGCTATATTTCCGCATGAGGTGAGTGAAGGCCTCTTGGAAGGAGTGTGTATGTGAGAGTGTGTGTGTGTGTGTGTGTGTGTGTGTGTGTGTGTGTGTGTGTGTGTAGGTGTGTGTCCATCCAAGTGCCACAGCACAGGTGTGGAGGGAAATGCAATACATCCACTATGCAATGGTCTCTCACAGCAAACACAGGTTGTTAGGCTTAGCAAGTACCTTTACCCACTGAGCCTCCCCAGGCTCTGATTCTTCTTTCCCTTCTTGCCAGGTTTTACTTCCGGAACTGGCATGGCATGACTCCCCAGGAACCGGCTGTATACCGGTGCGGTTTCCCAGGGGCAGAGGCTTCCTCAGAGCGGACAGAGCAGGGCGTGCAGCTCTTGGATTCTGCCTCATTTGAATACCTTTTTGAGCAGGTATGAGCAGGGATGGGGAATCTGGACAATTGTGGGGGAACAAAGGGACAGTTAAGGGCTTCCCTCCATTTCCAGCTTCATTTCAGCTAAAATGTTTCAGCTCATATCAGCTTTTACCTTTCTTTTCCAAAAGAACTTGGGGTGAATGATTAGTAATGTCTAGGATTGGCTAGTAATGTCTGACATGGTCTCAAGCTTAGGCAAAGGTGATTGTATGTGATGTATTTGGTCTTTCTAAGAAAATGCTTATCCTTTCCCCACAAGGTACCTGGAAGTAGGGAGTTAAAGTTTGTTGCCAATAGAGCCATCAGCTCTTTTTCTATCCATCCCTCTACCTGTCAGGGAAAACATGAGTTCATGAATGACGTAGTCTCTCTTCGGGACCTGTCTAACGAGGAAGAGATCCACCACTTTAAGAATGAGAGCCTGGGCATGGCCTTTCTGCATCTCTGCCACCTTGCTCTCTGCCGTGGTATCCCTCTGGAGGAAATGGCCAGAGAGATCAGGTGACTGAAAATGGAATGGGCACCAGGAGTAGGTGGGTGAAATTCGCCATGCCCTGGGGTACCAGGGTGGACCACTCATGTTGCCTTCACTCACCCAGCAGACAGGAACTTAGCCCCCACTTCGTACCAATTCTAAGTGTTGGAAACACAACACCAGCCTGTTCTACATAGTGAGCTCGAAGACAGCCAGGGCTGCACAGAGAAACCTATTGCAAAAAGAAAGAACTAACCCCACAAAAGCCAAGTCTACAGAAGCGGGGTTCCCAGTGGGTACAACTTCTGGAAGGCATTGTGGGGCTCAAATCCCAGGTCCTAGGAAGCTCAAGAAGGGTCTGTCTTTGGCCAGGCATGTGGCACAGACCTGTAGCCACAACAACCAGTATACTGAGACAGGAGAACTACAAGTCATAGGAAAGCCTGGGCTACATTGTTTGACCTAGTCTCCCTCCCACTCACCCTCCTCCCCAAAAAATTAGTTCAGAGTAGTTGGTTGGATCTTAATTGCAACACATGGGGGTAGAGCGAGGAGGATCAGGAGTTCAAGGTCAGTGTCAGCTACACAGCAAGCTTAAGACCAGGCTGGGCTACATGCCACCCCTGTCCCCAAAACACAAGACAACAACACTAGGGCCAGATGTGGTGGCGTGCACCTGGAATTACTGCACCCGGCAGGTAGAACCAGGAAGATTTCTTCAAGTTTGAGGTCATTCTTGGCTACACAGTGAGTTTCGAACCAGCCTGGGCTAAATTATGTAATATAAAAACCAAAGTAAGGAGCTGGAGAGATGGCAGCGTGCTTATGAGCCCTGGCCCCTCTTACAGGGGAACTGAGTTCCATTCCCAACACCCACGTGCAGGCTCACACCCAGTTCCAGGGCATCTGATGCCCTCTTCTGGTCACTGTGAACACGTGCGTGTGGAGGCTCATGCTCATGGAGACATAGAAATAAAAAGATTTAGAGCCCGGCGTGGTGGCGAATGCCTTTAATCCTAGTGCTTGGGAGGCAGAGGTCTACAAAGAGAGTTCCAGGACAGCCAGGGCTGCTACACACAGGCACGCACGCACGCAGCACGTACGTACGTTGTCTCTAACCCTCTGCCCCACCCCCCACCCCCAAAAAAAAAATTGAGACAGAGTTTCACTATATAGTGCTGGGGTGAAGGGCCGAAGCCACAGTACTTGAGGTCGGGCGCTTCATGTCTGCATTCATGACATCGGTCTCACTGTCTATGTTAGGCAGCAGAGAGGTCCAGCCACTGACCCCATGTCACCCAACCTGACTTGTCCCCTGCGCCACCTTTCCAGCTTCAAGAACTGCATCCCTCGCTCCTTCCGCGAGCACATCCGTCAGCACAACGTGCTCACGCGCCTGCGCCTCCGAAGAGTCTTCCGCCGATTCCTGCGGGCCTTCCAGCCTGGCCACCTCTCCCAGCAGGTGGTGATGGTTAAGTACCTGGCCACCCTGGAGCGGCTGGCTCCCCGCTTTGGCTCAGAGCGCATCCCTGTGTGTCATCTGGAGGTAGTGGATCAGCCTGAGAGGGACCCCTGCTACCTCCAAAACAGTGGGCAGACTTCTGGGGACCCAGGCCCAGAGCTGGCCCCCGGGCCTCCCACCCACGAGGCGCTGGTGACAGGCACCGGAGGTATCCAGTGGCGGCCGCTGCAGAGGCAGGTGAGCAGTCAGCACAGCTGTGGGCTCCCCGGGGCGCCTCAGGGAGCCCTCTTTTCACCTGGCTCTGGAGGCCTGCCCACCTGTCTTGCTTTTCCCCTCCATTTATCTGTGGGAGATGGCACCGGTGTGCTAGACTGTGCACGTGGAAGTCAGACTACAGCTTGGGGAAGCTGGTTCTTCCCCTTCCGCCATGTGGGCTCCAGGGATCAAAGAGGCTTTGGAGGCAAGCCTCTACCCACTGAGCCAGCTCACTGGCCCTTGAGGGGTTGGTATTAATTATTAACTAAGTAATTTTTAGTGTTCTCAAGACAGGGTTTCTCTGTGTAGCCTTGACTGTCCTGGACTCGCTTGGTAGACCAGGCTCACCTTGAACTCACAGAGATCCGCCTGCCCCCGTCTCCCGAGCGCTGGAATTAAAGGCGCCCCCCCGCCCCCCCCCCCCCCCCCCCCCCCCGCAGTTAGGATCTGATTTTGTGCTGTACTTCCGAGCTGACCTGGAGCTCAGCTGCACAGCCCAGGTGGCACTGGAACTCGTGGTGACCCTCCTGTAGCTTTCCGAGTTTTTGGAACTAAAGGCTGGAGCCCGGTTTCCCTCTGTCCTCAGAGGGGAAATTAAACTAGCCTTGTCCCGCTCTGTCCCCTGCCTACCCCCACCCCTCCCACTGGCTTGGTTTTTCAGGAATCTGAGAGAAGCCACAACGTAGGGAATCCCCAAGGCCTCCGGTCTGGGAAGAAGGCCAAGGCCCCTGAGGCTGGAGAGCAGCTGGCAGAGAGTCCTGGGGAGCCAGCCTGGACCTACTTCTGTGACTTCCAGGACATCTCCCACGTGGTGCTGAAGGACCGCCACGTGCGCATCCACCTTCAGGACAACAAGTGCTTGGTGGGGGCCCTGGGCAGTAGGCTGGTGGGGGAGGCTGGGATGCATCCTGCCAGGCCCCTGATCATGTGCCCCTGGCCCACAGTTGCTGCGCCTCTGCTCCCGGGCTGAGGCCCTGTCCTTTGTGGCCCTGGTGGATGGCTATTTCCGATTGACCGCTGACTCCAGCCACTACCTGTGCCATGAGGTGGCGCCCCCGAGGCTGGTGACCAGCATCCAGAATGGCATCCACGGGCCCCTGATGTGAGTGGTGGCGTGGCCCGAGGATGCCAGGGGTTGGCGCTGCGGAAGCTGGGATTCCAGCAGACGCTGACACGTGATGGGGTGTGCATGCCATCCTACACCGTGTGTGTGCTCCTGCCCTCACGCCTAGGTGCTGCCCCCAGCCAGTCAGCTGTGGGCCGAGTCAGGGTGTCACTGTTTGTGTCTGTGTGGCCTCTGTGTACAACACCTTTTAGTCCCCATTTTTGTTGTTGCTCTTGCCACCTCTGGGATGTCAAGGCCCTTATACTAGTTTTTTTTTTTTTTTCCATTACTATAACAAAACACCTGAACCTGTATACTTAAGGAGAAAAGTGGTTAGTTGTGGTGCATGATTTAATCCAAGCAGGTCAGCTTGGGCTATGTAGTGAGGTTCTATCTCAAAATGAATTTTTTTTTTAAGATTTATTTATTCTATGTATATGAGTGTTCTATCTGCATTTACACCTGCCAGAAGAGGGAATCAGTTCACATTATAGATGGTTGTGAGCCACCATGTGGTTGCTGGGAATTGAACTCATGATCTTTGGAAGAGCAGACAGTGCTCTTAACCACTGAGCCATCTCTCCAGCCCCCTCAAAATGAAATTTTAAATAAATTATGTGAATATGTGTATGTCTGCATAGTTGGGTGCAGCTGCCCATAGAGGCAGGGGCACTGGATCCTCCTGGAGCTGGTATTTATAGGTGACGGTGTGGGTGCTGGGAACCGAACTTGGGTCGTCCTGAAGAGCAGTAAGCCCCTTTAATGACTGAGCCATCTTCAGCCTTCAGAATTAAATAGTAAGAACATGTCCGGGGGGCCTGAGGAAATGACTGTGATGAAACGCTTGCCTTGTAGCGTGAAGATCTGAGTTTGGCCCCTAAAAGGCACACAGCTCAGCAGCTCGTGTGTGGAGTCCCAGCACTGCTGCGGTGCCACGGTATGTGGAGATGGACTCTCTGGAGCACAGCTCCCGCCTCGAAACAGGGCAGAGGGCGAGGACTGACAGCCCAGGGTCTCCTCCGACGTGCAGAGCAGCGTGCACACCTCACACGCGCACAGGCCACAGACATAGCACGGAATGTCTGGTCGGGGGCTATTAGCAAGCTGTTGTGCTTGCTAGCGCCCAAAGCCCTTGGTTCAGTTCCCAGCGCTGCCTGCCCTGGATGTGGTGGTGTACCGGGCATTCCCGGGACAGCCTACAGGAGTCAGTTCTCTCCTGCCCTCTTGGTGCTGGGGATCAAACTCAGCTCCTCAGACTCAGCAGCCAGCGCCTGTGTCACTGAGTCTTCTCCACGGCCCCTTGTTTGGTTTTGAGACCGAGTTTCATTTAGCACAGACTAAGCTTGAATGTACCTGAGGGTGACCGGGAACGTCATATCTTCCTGTCCCACCTCTTGGTCCTAGGACTAGAGGCATGCGTTGCCACATCTGGCTTGTGTCTATCTTTCTTTAAGTTTCTTTTTAATAATTTTATTTTATATGTATAGATTTTGATTTGTTTTTGTTTGTTTTGTTTTTGCCTCATATATGTCTGCGCCACACGCCTGTCTGGTGCCCACAAAGGCTAGGAGTTAGAAAACAGTTGCAAGCCCCCTTCTGGGTGCTGGGAGGAACAGCAAGTGCTCTTAACCTCTGAGCCACCTCTCCAGCCCATCATATCTCGCTCCTCATCACGGGGTATGGGACCTGACCTGAGCCTCGGAGGGGACAAATCACTTAGAAATGGTGTCCCCACATGGCCCTGTGGCTCAGGGTGATGAATGATCTGTATTTTGGGGGCATGTAACTCTCTCTACCGCAAGCCACTGTCCCTTTGACCCACGTGACATCAGCTGTTTTCCTGTCTCAGCATCTGTCACTTTGTCAGCGGCTGTGTTTGATGTCAGGCACACGGGTCTGTTCTTACTTGGATCTCTCTGTCCGTGCTCGTATATAGGTATACATGTATGTTGGGTTTATTGCCAGTGGTTCCGATGGTCTTTGCACGTCTCTTAATTTGGGGGGAGGACATGCCGTAGGGTATGTGGGGAGTCGGAGGGCGACCTGCAGGTGTCAGTCTCTCCTTCTATCACACGGGTCCTGGATGTTAAACTCAAGTCATCAAGCTCTGAGCAAAGCGCCTTTCCCCACAGGGCCGCCTTACAGGCTCTCTGAAGGGTCTGGATGCATGAGCGTGCACACAAGGCAGCCAGCAGCTGGCGTTGAGTGCCTTCCTCAGTCACGCTCCATTAGTTTTTTTTTCTATTTTCCATATGTATGTATGTGTATCTGTGTGCGCGTATGCCGAGTGAATGCGGGTGCCCATGGAGGCAGAAGAGGCATGGGACTCCCTGGCACTGGAGTTACAGGTGGCTGTGAGGTCCCTGATGTAGGTGCCGAGACTCCAACTCTATGGCCCTCTCAGGAACAGGAAGTGCTGTTTACCACCGAGCTGTCTGTTCCGCTCCTGCACCTTACTTTTGAGACAGGGCCTCTCACTGAGACTGGAATTCAGTGATTGGCCAGGCCAGCTGAGCCGTATCCTCAGGGCTGGGGTTACAGAGCACGTCACCCGCCCAGATTCCCACGTGGGCCGGAGGTATCTGAACCCAGATCGTCTAAGGCCCCATCCCCTCTACTTTTTCATGAGACATAGTCGTAGCAGGTAGCCCAGGCTGGACTAAAACTTTCAGTGATCCCGTGACCTCAGCCTCGGGAGAGCTGGAGTTACAGGTGTGCACTGACTGGCTGGTGCGTGTGTGTCTGGGCAGGTTTCCTGTGGCCACTGCCTTAGCAGGGGTCCCAAAGTGATTACAAGAGGCTTGATGGTATCCCCTGTCCTCTCCTCTCCCAGGGATCCATTTGCGCAGGCCAAGCTGTGGCCGGAAGACGGCCTCTACCTGATTCAGTGGAGCACCAGCCACCTGTACCGCCTGATCCTCACTGTGGCCCATCGAAACCCGGTGGGCCTGGGGCCAGGGTGACGGGGAGGGAGGCGCAGCCTTCGAAGGCTGGAACCCAGCCCTGCTGGACCCCTGCTCACATCTACTTCCCACCTCCCCAGGCTCCCAGTAGTGGCCCGAGGGGCCTGCGCCTCCGAAAATTCCCCATCACCCAGCAGCCCGGAGCCTTTGTGCTGGAAGGCTGGGGACGCTCCTTTGACACCATAGGGGAACTTCGGGTGGCCTTGCAGGGCTGCTCACTGCGGGCTGGCGACGACTGTTTCCCCTTGCACCGCTGTTGCCTGCCCCGGCCAGGAGGTGAGTGGGATAGTGAGAGGCACAGGGTAGGGGTGGTGCTCTGTGCCCCGAAGCCAGCCCACGAGGGCAAAATGTCTGCTCCTGTGCCTAGAAATCTCCAACCTCCTGATCATGCGGGGGTCCAGCGCCCACACCCGCCCGCTCAACCTCAGTCAGCTCAGCTTCCACAGGGTTCACCAGGATGAAATCACCCAGGTGGGTGCTCCGTGACAGGGCATGTGGATCTGGGGGGAGGGGCGGTGTTCACCTGCCATCCAGTGCCGCTCGCACCGCATTCAGCACCATTTCTTAACAGCTGTCCCACCTGGGCCAAGGCACAAGGACCAATGTGTATGAGGGTCTGCTACGAGTGGGGGGCCCTGATGAAGGCAAAGCGGACAGTGGCTGCCCCCCTGAGCCTGGTGGGAACGGTGAGCAGCAGCTTCGAGTGGTGCTTAAAGTCCTGGACCCCAGCCACCATGGCATCGCCTTGGTAAGTGTGCAAGGCTGACCCTGGGGTACCAGGAGAGGATGATGGGGTGAGACGGGGCGGGTCTGCAGTAACAGGCTGACCTGCCCTGTCTGTCTCCACAGGCCTTCTATGAAACAGCTAGCCTCATGAGTCAGGTGTCACACACGCACCTGGCCTTCCTGCACGGGGTGTGCGTGCGCGGCTCAGAGAGTGAGTGGCCCCCGCACGCCAACCCGCTGTACCCCTGCCTGGCCTGTATCTCGTCTCAATGTTTTCTGTTTGTTTTCTGATGGTACTGGAGATGGACCCCAGGCCTTCAGCATGTAGGGTAACACTCTACCCCTGAGCCACACCCCGGCCATTTGACCATTGCTCCTGGAGCCCTGAGACCAGACAATACCCTGACCTTCAGCACATGCCCGCCCTTCCCTACATCAACCCTCCGTTCACGTCTTAACACTGTCTATACTTTGACCCTCCTCATTACCCTGACCCCTTGCTATACCGGCTCTGTCCTGTCTCTTTGACCCAGACCCTGATGTCTGCCTCTGAGTCTCCATTCTTCCCACAATCCCTTCTGCATCCACCATACATCCTCCAGTCCCTTCAGCACAGTGGCCCCAGGCAGGTCCCAGCCCTGCTGTGTCCCCAGTCACCCTGAGTTTCCAGCCTGCTTAGACACCTCTGTTCCTTTGCTGCCTGACCCTCCAAGGTCCTAGTGCAGGCCGACCCCAGTCATGACCCCATGAGCGGCTCTTGATTCTGCTTTCCAGCCTGTGCCTGGCCCTCTACTCCATCTTCATGGCACCTCTGTCTCCTGCTCCCTATCTCAGCTCACCCCCCTCCCAACTCCTCTCCACTTCCCAAACTCCCTCTTGTCCTTGCTCTGTGCCTAGACTCCCCATTCCACCTCTGCCCCTACTCTCTCCTCTGTCTTCAGAGTACCTCCCCCTACCCAAACTCAGCTCACCTCCGCCACCAGTCTGTCTCTGGAGGCAGAGGCAGGCGGCTGCCCCTCCAGCCACTGTATCTTTGCAGATATCATTGTGACAGAGTTCGTGGAACATGGACCCCTGGATGTGTGGTTACGGCGACAGCGGGGCCGACTCTCCATGACCTGGAAGATGACTGTGGCCCAGCAGCTGGCCAGCGCCCTCAGCTACCTGGTATGTGGACCTGGGGGGACACCTGTGCGTGAGGGGAGTAGTTGCAGCCTGGGTATCAGGGTGGGAGGCCACGCTATGCCGCAGTTCTGAACTGTGACTCCCGGAGTGTCACCAACATGCCTGGCTCTGACATGCCCCAGCCGTTGCTGTTCTAATCCCACTGTCTCCTGAAGGCCCGCCCTCTCATTTATATGTTCATATTCAGTGGCCCCAAGTGCATTGCCCCAGGCCCTATGCCAGACCCTACACATACAATTATTATGCCCTGACTCTGGGGCCTGCCATTTCAGTTGGAAGAGAGGACATACATCACTCCTGGGTACCTTGAAGTTGATAAGGCAAGATCCCCTGTCTGTGTCCTCAAGTCTGCTGTAGAAAACAGGGGAAGCCAGACATGGTGACAAATACCTGCTGTGGCAGGTTTGTGTGTGTGTGTGTGTGTGTGTGTGTGTGTATGTGTGTGTCTCACAGAGATCCGTCTACCTCTGCCTCCTGAGCACTGAGATTAAAGGCACGCCATCTCACCCGGCTGGGACCATTTTTTTCTCCCCAAAAAAACACAAGTGTACAGAACCAGCACAGACTCTTCTGCTACTGTAGGTATCACCATGTGAAATGCCGTCACAGCATATCTACCACAGTGTAAATGCCATGAAAAGAGAGCCGGGCGCTGTGGTGCACACCTGTAATCCCAGCACCCAGGTGGCAGAGGCAGGCAGAGTTCTGTGAGTTTGAGGCCAGCCTGGCCTACAAAGCGAGTCCAGGACAGCTAGGGCTACACAGGGAAATCCTGTCTGGCAAAACAAAAACAAACAAAAAAGTAATGAAAATCATGTAAAATTATATTACTGTGTTTTTTGTTTTTGGCCTGGGACTCAATACGCAGGCCAGGCTGACCTTTAACTCCCAGAGGTCTACTTACCTCTGCGTCTGGAGCATAGAGATTAAAGGTGCTACCATGCCTGGCTAATTAAATTTGTTTTGAGGCAAGGTCTCACGTAGCCCAGGCTGGTTTTGAACTCCTGATCCTCCTGCCTCTGGAGATGACAGCTGCATGCTCATGCCCTAATCTAAATCTAAATCTAGTTTTGGTCATGGCTCAGCCTGAAGAGAGGGCTAACTGTGCTTAAAGCAGTAACATAATATATTAGGAAGCAGTAAGAGCTGAGCGGAAGGGACGCGGGGAGATAGTGGTAAATGCTTGCTGTACAGCCTTGGAAGACGTGAATTCCTATCCCTAGCAACCCACGTGAAAAGCCACATGCCTGCGACCCTAGCACTGGGGAGGCACAGACAGGAGGATCCCTGGAGCTCACTGCCTGGCCAGCTTATCCCATCAGTGAGCCCCAGATTCCGTGTCAGAGTCTGTCTCAAAGAATAAGGTGGGAAGCAGTTAAGCCCCCTCCGCCCCCAGCATCCATCCCTGACCTGCACACACATGCACACACAGGGGCATAGAACACAGAAGGAATTTAGGGTTGGAGCAATTGCTGACGTGGCTGTTAGGCACAGTGACAGCCCAAGAGTGAGGTAGAATTTGAGACAGGTGGGCTGGGGCTGACCTCACCTGACAGGAGAGGAAAACTGTGAGGAAATCTTGGGAAGATCGTTTTCAGGTGTGTGTGTGGACTGGGGACAGCCCGTGCAGAGGTCCTGGGGAGGGGATGTGCCTGGCCTGTGTTTGGGGTCTTCTGGCTTTTTATTCCTTGGCTATCTACTCAGTTCTCTGGTCATGATAACTGGTCCTGTCATCTCAATAATTTGACAGTTTCATATGGCTATCCCTGTGGGGAGGATCCTTATGGGTTAGGGATGGTAGATAGAATCTGGGCCCGGTCCTGGGAGCCCTGCACATTTTCTTCCTCTGCCATCCTAGGAGGACAAGAATCTGGTTCATGGGAATGTATGTGGCCGGAACATCCTGCTGGCCCGGCTGGGGCTGGAGGAGGGTACCAGCCCCTTCATCAAGCTAAGTGATCCTGGTGTGGGCCAAGCCGCCCTCTCCAGGGAGGGTGAGTTCTGGAGTGGGGCTTGACACAGGGATGGCCTCCCCTTGCCCTTTCCACTCTTGCTGATCTGGGACCTGTGCTCCCTAGAGCGGGTGGAGCGCATTCCCTGGACAGCTCCCGAGTGCCTGTCTGGAGGATCCAGTAACTTGGGTACTGCCACAGACATGTGGGGCTTCGGCGCCACCCTCCTTGAGATCTGCTTTGACGGAGAGGCACCCCTGCAGGGCCGTAGCCCCTCTGAGGTATGTCCTGAGGATTTCTGTGGGTTCTGGAGGGTTCCCCGGTCCATTTAAGTGGCCGAAGAGGGTTCCTAAAGAAGGGTTCATCCAGAATCTGGCTTACAAGCTGCTCGTGAGCTAGGCCAGGAAGAGCAGCACTGATCCCAGACACAGCTTTTGCAGAGGCCCTGGGGCAAAAGAGCAGCTGAGCTGAGGGAGGAAGCCAGGGTGCTGGGAGTGGCTCAGCAGTGACCTGCTCCAGCTCTGCAGGCCAGCTGGACTAGGTTACAGTTCCTGGCCCTAAAGTCTTTACCTTTCTGTAAAATGGGCATAAAGAGATCAGGGACTGGTCTGAGCCAACCCTGCTGCTTAGCCGCGCCTCCTGGGGGAGCTGTGGGGCAGAATGGGGTGCTCACTCTTTGGGGTCACCATCCCCGCAGAAAGAACGATTCTACACAAAGCAGCACCAGCTGCCTGAGCCCTCATGCCCAGAGCTGGCCACGCTCACCCGCCAGTGCCTCACCTATGAACCAGGACAGCGGCCATCATTCCGCACCATCTTGCGGGACCTCACTAGACTGCAGCCACAGAGTGAGCCAGAGCCCTGGGGGCTGGGGGGGGGGTGCAGCTGGGGTCCCTGCCAATTCAGGCACCTCCCCTTGCCCTTTCCACTCTTGCTGATCTGGGACCTGTGCTCCCAGAGCAGGTCTCCGCAGTGGGGCATGGTACATGCAGTTTCTGGTTCATCTAAGGGTGTGCAGGTGAGGGGAATGCTAGGGAGCAGGCATGTGACACTGTCTGGGGAAGGCCCACAGTCTAACTGCAGCCTTTGCCTGTTCCAGATCTTGTGGGTGTTTCGGCCATGAACTCAGACTCACCAGCATCAGACCCCACTGTTTTCCACAAGCGGTACTTGAAGAAGATCCGGGATCTGGGCGAGGTGAGGGGTAGCCGCCAGCTGGGGTGTAGGTTAGAGATGTAGAGGAGAGGGCTGAAGATGTGGAGGGAGAGGGAGATGGGTTTGGGGCTCAGAGATTTGGGACAGTCTAGAGGTCTGGGGTGCATCTGGAGACAGGACATGAAGGGCTGGGGAGTGCCTGGGGACCTGGGGGAAGGACCTGGGAGGAATTGGGGCTTAAGGAAATCTTGTTTAAGAATAGTTTTGAGGGCCAGGCACAACAGACACGCCTTTAATACTAACGTTCAGGAGGCAGAGGCAAGCAGGGCTCTGAGTGTGAGGCCACCTTGGTTTACAGATCAAATTCCAAGCTACCGTGGGCCACAGTGTGGTTCTCAAACAACAGTAATAGCAATAGTAACGTTTTCAGAGATGAGGGCGTGGAGATTTTTCATCTTGGAAGGGCCTAGCAAGCTCTACTGCCTGGTTCTCACTCTCTTGCCCACTTCTGCAAGGGTCATTTTGGTAAGGTCAGCCTGTACTGCTACGATCCAACCAATGATGGAACTGGCGAGATGGTGGCCGTGAAAGCCCTTAAGGAGGGATGTGGTCCCCAGCTCCGCTCAGGCTGGCAGCGGGAGATCGAAATCCTACGAACGCTGTACCATGAACACATTGTCAAGTACAAAGGCTGCTGTGAGGACCAAGGTGTGAACAGTGGCCAGGCCATGGTGTGTAGGTGTGGCTGGTCCATCCTGGCCAATTGGAAGGTTTCTATAATTGGGTGGAGGTGGGACCTTATGGACCTAACCTGACCTGACCAATTAGAATTACTCAGTCTCAGGAGGGGTGTGGCTGGGAAGCCTTCTTCTTAGTTGTGGCCAGGATGAACAGGAGCTACCAGTACCCCCCTAACACAGGAACAGTGTTCCACATAGGTCATTCTTGTCCGTGGACCTGGCCTAGCTGCAGGGGTCCTGACCTTGTCTTCTTACCTGGGAATGAGCTGTGCAAAGTACTCAGGGCTCTGGGCTCCAGGGACTTCAACCCCTTCTTCAACATCCTCTATGGTCTCTGCTGAACAGGAGAGAAGTCTGTACAGCTGGTCATGGAATACGTCCCTCTGGGCAGCCTACGAGATTACCTGCCACGGCACAGCGTAGGGCTGGCTCAGCTCCTGCTGTTCGCCCAGCAGATCTGCGAGGTGGGATGGCCACGCCCTTCCCTCTAGAGCGGACCACCTGTTTTCTGTGGGTCCTAATGCGTTCTATCCCTCATCATGTCCACACTCTTGTCCTTGGACTAGATTCCTGGACACAGTCCCATAGGTCTCACCCTTAATCCCTGCAGTTTTCTTAAGACCGTACCCACCCGCCTTGGCCCCTCCCACTAAGCCTACCTGGCTTCCATCCTCCCGGTTTTATTTAGTTGGGACCCTTGCCTGGCCTGATACCTACAGGCCCCGCCCCTAACCCTGTAGAGGTTTACATATTCCAAGACCCACCCATCTCTTCTTGGCCTTGCTCACAATGCCCCGCCTCTCTGAGGTCGCCTTCCAGCCTAGCTTGCCCCTGAAAGCTCTTCTCCCAACCTTGTAGGGCAGTGGTCCTCCACCTTCCCAATGCTGTAACCCTTGAATACAGTTCCTCATGTTGTGGCGACCCCCAACTGTAAAATCATTTCTGTTTGTTGCTACTTCCTAACTTTAATTTTGCTGCTGTTATGGATCGTAATGTAAATATCTGGTGTGCAGGATTATCTGTTATGCGACCCCTAGGAAAGGGTCAGTTGAACTCCCCTAAGGGTCGGAGACCCACATGTTGAGAGTCACTGTTGTACAGGTTTGCACAGTCCTTACCTTGACTCCACCCACAAAGCCCCGCCCCTCACAGCTCACCCTCCTGTCTAGCTTTGCTGGTTGGCCCCAAGCCCTGCTTTGGCTCCTCCTTTCCCTTGCTCAGCCTGGGCTGAGCTGCCTCTCCCTGCTCCAACCCAGGGCATGGCTTACCTGCATGCACAGCACTACATTCACCGAGACTTGGCTGCGCGCAACGTGCTGCTGGACAACGACAGGCTGGTCAAGATTGGGGACTTTGGCCTAGCCAAGGCTGTGCCGGAAGGCCACGAGTACTACCGCGTGCGCGAGGACGGGGACAGCCCGGTGTTCTGGTGACGAGGAGCGGGCACAGTCTGAGGGGTTGGGGTGGAGGAGGCGGGGATGCTGATGGAAGCTGGGCGGGGCCTAAGGATGGAAGGGGCAGGACTAAATCCCAGTAGGCCAGTTTGGCTCGGCTTAGTAGGTCTGTAACCCCTCAGGCTGTGCCCTGAAGGGTGAGGTCCAACTGGAACTCAGGGGTCCTTCGACTGCCTGTGAACTCCAAGTCCGGCCAGTCCTGAGCCTCCTCTGTCTCCAGGTATGCCCCGGAATGCCTGAAGGAGTGCAAATTTTACTATGCATCCGATGTCTGGTCCTTTGGGGTGACCCTGTATGAGCTGTTGACATACTGTGACTCTAGCCAGAGTCCCCCCACGGTGAGCGACAGACACCCCACTCTGCCTTTGTGTTTACTGGGGACTTTTTCCAGAAAGGCAGGCATTTAAAACTCAGCCCCCAACACTGACAGGCTCTTTTTGCAGGTGGTGGGGAGGGGAATGTTTCAAGACAGGGTGTCTCTGTGGAGCCCCGGCTGTCCTGGAACTCCCTCTGTACACCAGGCTACCCTCAAACTCAGAGACCTGCCTGCTTCTGCCTCCTGAGTGCCAAGGCTTGCGGCTGGCAGGCTCTTCACTCAAGTGTTTAGCCCTGCCTCAGCTATAAAGGGGTTGCTTGGTGTGGGAGTTATTTTGTTTCCATGGGGTTTGTTTGGTGGTTCTTTCCCACCTGTTTATTGTGTGTTGGTTGTGTGTGTGTGCATGAGCCACATCACACATGTGGAGGTTGTATAAAATGGAGGTTTGGGCACCGTATGTTTAAAGTGAGGATGTGCCCGCTCCGAGGTATGGTTGAGGAGAAGGTTTTTATTGTAGATCTGAGGGAGAGTTACATCCAGAGGCATCTGGAAGAGTCCAGAGCAGGGATAGAAAGTAGTAGACTAACTTGGCCAGTGGACTGAACTGGGCCATGGGGTAGGGGAGACAAGAGAGCAAAGAGGAGAGAGGAGCCAAGACACTGAATGGCCAAAATGGCAGCATTGTGTTGGGATGAGGAGCTGGGGAGAGAGGGGCCTATGAGCAGAAGTTTAGGGTAGGGGCCGGGTGAGAAGAGCTGAGAGGAGCCAAGATGCCAGCATGGTCTCAGTAACAGGTACTTGTGACCCTGAGAGAGTCTGGGGGCCAGCATGCACTTTAGTATGCTAATGGGCACCACAGATGGCCATTTGTCCTGATGAGGTCAGAGGACAGCTCCCAGGAGTTGATTTTCTCCTACAGGATTGAATTCAGGCTAACAGGCTTATGAGCAAGCACCTTTATCAGGTTGGCTATCTCACAGTCCTTGTTTTAGTGATTTTTTAAAAATTGATTTAAGTATGTTGGTGTTTTGACTGCATGCATACCTGTGTGAGGGTGTGGGATCCCCTGGAACAGGAGTTACAGACAGTTGTGAGCTTGGGGACTGAATCTGGGTCCTCTGGAAGAGCAGCCTGTGCTCTTAATCACTGAGCCATCTCTCCAGCCCTAATGATTTTTTTAAAGTCAATTTTATCTGCTTATTGGGGAGGAGACACTGTACTGCACAGTCTGTGAAGGTCAGGGGGCAACTCGCAGGGGTGGATTCTTTACTTCCATCACATAGGAGGGTGGAAACGCCTTTACCCTCCAAAGTGCCTTTGTCAGTCCCTGGCTTTGTTTTAGATAGGAGCTCCTTTTGGAATTCAGGATGCCCTAGAACTCACAGCCTTCCTGCCTCAGCCTCAGTGCTGGCACCACAGGAGAATTTGTCACTTTTATTTTATGTGTGGGTGTTTTGGCTAGTTGTGTGTCTAGACACCATATATGTGTGGTGCCAGGGAGGCCAGAAGAGGGCATGAAATCATCTGGAACTTCGGTTCTAGCCAGTTGTGAGCTGTTATGTGGGTGCTGTGAATTGAACCCCAATTCTCCGCAAAAACAAATGCTCGTAACCACTGAGCCATCTCCCCTGCAGGGGAGTTTCTAACTGAAGCACTCAAAATATACATGACAAAATCCTGTTGTTTATTATGCTGTTTGCAGACTCCGTGAGTGAGACCTCAAATGTCATTAGGAGCCAGTGTCTCCAGCTCCATCCCACATTCACTGTGTTGGCACCTTAAGCCACCTGCTCTGTACACAGTGACAAGGGTCAAGCCACAGAGCCAAGAGAGCTTCTCTTTCTCCTCTAAATTCTTTTGACTTCTTCTGATGGGCCTAACTAGTTCACGTGTCCATCTCAGAATCTGAAAAGCTGCAATCCACAGCCATTGGTTGGCCATGAGCTAGGTAGGAAAGCCAGGAGGATATTACATTAGCCCCAGAGACAGCGTCTCTCCTCAGTTACTCAGATCACAACAGGAGGATCCTTGAGCCTAAGAGGTGAAGACCAGCCTGTACAACATAGCATTGTCTCATGATTTAAAATGGATTTTAAAATAGATTCTAAAGGGGCTGGAGCTATGACTCGGTTGGCGGCGCACTGGCCTGGCATGTTTGAAGCTCTGGATTCCAACCCCAGCATAAAATAGGCATGCCTGTTATCCCAGCACTGGAGGTGGGGGCAGAAGGATCAAGAATTAAAGGCCAGGAGCTGGAGAGATAGCTCAGAGGTTAAGAGCACTGACTGCTCTTCCAGAGGACCTGAGTTCAATTCCCAGCAACCACATGGTGGCTCACAACCATCTATAATGAGATCTGGTGCCCTCTTCTGGAGCACAGGTGTACATGTGGAGAAAACATTGTATACATAATAAAGAAATATTTAAACAAAAAAAAGATTTAAAGGCCAGCCTTGGATACCTAAGACCCTGGCTCAGAAGAGTGCCTGGGCTGGGGCTGGGGCTGGGGCTCAGCAGCTAAGTATTTGCTTTGTAAGCATGAGGATAGAAGTTTGGATCCCAGAACTCACTTGAATGTCAGGTGGGTGTGGCGGCCTGCCTTTAAATCCAGCCTGGGGAGGCAGAGATGGGATCCCTAGAGCAAGCTCCCTAGTGGTATCAAGAAGCTCTGGCTCTGATCCAGAGACCCTGCCTCAGTGGATAGGGTGGGAGATAAAATCTACCATAATGATTCCTGATCTCAACCTCATTACTCTATGTTACCGTATGTGCTAGGGCACATGACCCACACATTTGCCCACACATGCAGACACGTATGCCCATGAAAATGGGGATCTGGGCATGGCTCTGTGAGTACATCGTGCTCTGTGAGTACATCGTGCTCTGTGAGCACGATGGGAGGGAGACACAGTGTGGAGCCTGTCCCAAAGGACTAAGAGAGGGATAGAGTGGGACATCTTTGTGGTACTGTGGCCTTCCCGTGCCTGTGTGTCACACAGGCACAGAGAAGCATGGGTCGCCGGTTCACAGCTTGTACAAATAGTTGCTATCGATTGTGCCTTAGAAATTCATCGAGCTCATCGGGGTCACCCAAGGCCAGATGACCGTGCTAAGGCTCACAGAGCTGTTGGAACGAGGAGAGAGGCTGCCGCGGCCTGACAGATGTCCCTGTGAGGTGAGTTCACCTGCTTGTCCCCTTCCCCCCCCCACACAGGGTGAACGGCTGCACAGCCCCATTTCTCCCGCAGATCTATCTCCTCATGAAGAACTGCTGGGAGTCAGAAGCTTCCTTCCGGCCCACCTTCCAGAATCTTGTGCCCATCCTCAAGACAGCCCAGGAGAAGTACCAGGGCCAGGTGCCGTCAGTGTTCAGCGTGTGCTGACAGCCAGGATCGGCCTCTACATGCCCTGCTCCTCACTCTTTTCTGGAAACCCCATCTGGGAACTAATTTCCCTTCCTTGACCTTGAGCCTGGCTGTGACCTGAACAGATCTTGGATGTGCAAAGGGCCTAACTGGGATCCCTGAGTCTTTCCATTTTGGGTCCACACATCTTTTCACAGTTGAAATCCAATGACTTCAGGAGCTGGGGAGAAACTCTTTGGCTTTGCAGGAGGCCCCAGGGCTTTGGGGTCCAGTTCAGCAAAGTAGCATGGCAAGGCGTGCAGACAGAATGAGACTTCAAAGGAAGCCGTAACACTCTATCACCCCCAAACTGCCAGCCAAGCTAAAGTGTGACTGGGAGAGCCTGGGCTAGCATGGGGAACACCACCAGCTAAAGCAGTTCCCGGTATACAGAAGACACTCAATGACTGAGTGTCAGAGGCTGGGAGATTGCTCAGTCATGAAGGGCTTACAGACGTGCTTGTCTCACAAGCATGAGGATGTCAGTTCAATTCCCAGAACCCATGTTAGCTCTATGTGGTGAGACATATCATGGGTCTCCGCACTGGGTGTGTGTGAGATGGAGACAGGCAGCTCTATGGGGCTCACTGGCCAGCAGCCTAGTCTAGTCAGTGATACTTAGGCCAGTGAGAGTCCCTGCTGCAAAACAAAATGGTGGAACAGTGCCTCAGGAAGAATATCTGGAGATGCCCTCTGACCTCTGCACAAACACATGTGCGCACGCACCTGCACATGCATTTGCATATACACACAGTAGGGCCATTTGTCACAGATGTGGGACTCTGCCCGTTTTACCCTTTCCTTTCTGTGTGACCTCAGGTAAATGTCTTGACCTCTCTGGGCCTCGCATCTCACCTATGGGAATGGTCAAGCTTTCTATGTCATAGGACTGGTAAAGAGAGCTAATGATGGCTTGCATTTAAATTGCTTAGGAGAGAGACACAGATAAGTGGTTAATAAAGTTTTTGTTTATTATTCTGGTATTTTCTTGTGTTTTAGTTGAAGAGGTGAGATTCAGATGAGTTCTAGAATCACATGTATTTGTGAAAGGCAGGGAAATAATCACCTCCCCAAGAAGGATTTCTAAAGACTTCACGTAGGCTCGGTATGGTGGTTGGCACACTCTTAATCCTAGCAGGCAGTAAGGGACTGGGGGCATGGCTCAGAGTTAGAGCCCCTGCCTAGAATCCCCAGTGAGGGGCTGGGTGTGACTCAGAGATAGAGTTCCTGCCTTCAATCCCTCAGTGAGGAGCTGGGGGCGTGGCTCAGAGTTAGAGCCCCTGCCTAGAATCCCCAGTGAGGGGCTGGGTGTGACCCAGAGATAGAATTCCTGCCTATAATCCCTCAGTGAGGAGCTGGGGGCGTGGCTCAGAGATAGAGACCCTGCCCAGCATACACAAGGCCCTTGATTCCATCCTAACGACCACAAATGAAGTATCAGAAGTGTGTTCTTAAGCCACACAGAGGGTAATTTGGTTTGCAAAGCTGGAGAAGTAGTCTTCATGATGCTGTCATGATGGCTGTGTGCCCGCACTTACTAACAAGCCCAACTAACAAGCTTGCTGTTTAATGGACTCTTCGGTTGTTGATACCATGGAGGAGCTTGAAACCATGTCAGGGTCAGTACAGATTCTATCAATATAGAGCCTTGAACTCACTGCCCTCATACCTCAGTGTCCCATTCTGGAGACAAGTTCATGTTACCAAGACCATCACCTGTTTAAAAAATGTTTGAGAGCTGGACAGTGGTGGCACACACCATTAATCCCAGCACTGGAAAGACAGAGCAGGTGGATCTCTACGAGTAGGAGGCTAGCCTGGTCAGCAGAGTGAGTGAGTTCTAGGACAGCCAGGACTTCACAGAGAAACCCTATCTTGGGGGAGAAAAGTTTTTGTTTTTGTTTTTTTGAGACAAGATCTTATTAGTCTTGGCTGGCCTGAAACACACAACAAAAAATCTAAATAGGATCTTCTATTGAGCTGTGTGTTGTGGCATACATTTAATCCCAGCACTCAGAAGGCAGAGACAGGCATATCTCTGTGAGTTCCAGGCCAGCCAGGACCACACAGAGCCTTTCTCTCAAAGGAAGAAAAATCACTGTTGCATGAGTGCAAGGCAATTTCCTTAGAGACCTGCTTATCTCTGCTATATTTCATCATGGAGGACCCTGCTGCCTCCAGCCTGCGCCGTGCCACAGAGCCATTCTACTCGCCATCTAGGGTCTTTCCTTTTCTTCGTTCCACAGTTTTTTTGTTTGTTTGTTTGTTTTTCATTGCAACATATTTGTTGAAACCAGGGTATGAAGTAGATTTTACCACAGGCCAGCCATGTGTCCTGCCCGCCGACCCAGGACCGAACAGTCACGTGTCTGGCTCCTGTACTTCTGGACAGGGCTCCTTCCATAGGGAGTACCCAAGACTTGGTTTTACTTTCAAAAACCAAGGTTTTAAAGGCCTGGTTTTTTGTGTATGAGTATTTTATAAGTGTACCACACATAAACCTTGTGCATGATGAGGCCGGAAGAACACGTCAGACTCCCTGTAACTGGGGTTATATAGACAGTTGTGAGCTGCCTTCCTTGTGGGTGCTGGGATTCCAACCCCATCCTCAGGGAGGGGGGGGTCAGTGCTGCCTTGTTGGAGGCAGGGGTCAGGGTTCCTTTTTGTTTTGTTTTTAGAGACGAAGTCCCTCTATGTAGCCCTGAATATCTTGAAACTATTATGTAGACCAGGTTGTCTAGAACTCAAGGAAATCCACCTGCCTCTGCCTGTTGGAGGTGAGGATGTGGAGACCTGTGGACTGTTTGTTGAATGGGCTGTTCCTGGCTTCTGAGGCAGGTCCAAATGAAGCTGGAGACAAGATGCTCAACACTACAGTCTAAAGCCACCACAGCTAGGCAGAACCAGCAAGATGTCAAACAGATGGTTTGTACCGTGAACCTCAGATGCAGAATTGAGGAGGCCTGGGAGAACTTGACACTAACAAAGGGACAGGGCCTCAAAAGCCCCACAGGTGCAGCCCAGGACGGCAGAGACTGGGCTGCACGAGGGCAGGTGGCCAGGCCATAACGAAGGTGTGGCAGAAGCCATGCGAAGGTCATGGAGTCAGTAGTTCCTGAGTCATGTAGTGTTCTTTTAGGCTTGCTCCAAGGCTGGGCAGAACCAACATCAGAGCTGTCCGTGGTCAATGTGACTTGCACACATGGGCTCCGCTCCAGCCCTGGTGACTGGAAGGTGATGCTCCTTTTCCTTGGAAACTGGCCCAGCTTCAATTCCAGGCCACCGAAAGGGACAACGGTGTGACTTCTGCAGTGCTGTGCCGGAGTTGGGTGTGTGACTCTGCGTGGGAGCGCCACCTGCATGTCCTGTGTGAGCTGGTGGTCCAGACCTTTGAAGCTCTCGTCTCTGTCCTGCCTGGGAAGTATGGACTTTTCCCTTGCCTCACTCTTGTTCTGGGGTGTCTGGTCACATGGTGGTTCTACAGGTGGCTCCAAGATTGATGGTGCCATATGTCCCCAGCACTTGGTGTGCAAAGATAGGATAAGACAGCAGAAGTGTGACAGCTCTGACGGAAGAGGTATCCAAGGAATACCACGAAATCATACTGCACAATAAACCTCACACAAGAGATTTGCTGGAAAAACACAGAAGGGGAATGCCCCTGCTCAGAGGAGAAGCAGCAAAGAAATGAGAGGCAGGCTTTATATATGGCGTAAGGGGGTGCTCAGGGTGTCCTGGGATTGGTGGGATTTTGTGGCCTGATCTTGGGGTGAGCTCATGCATTGGTGCCCTAATCTTGAGCTTTTATTTTATTTTATTCTATTATTTTTCTTCTTTCTCTGTAGGGCAGAGCTTGGCTGTTTGCAAGAGGGGCCTGGCTATTCAAAAACCAAGAGGGGTTTGGCCAGGATAGATATTAGAGTAGTCTCGGGGCAGGGCCTGGCCGCTTGTACCTCAAGTGACTTACATCACATTTTGTGGTGCCAAGCCCAGGGCAATGAGTTCCAAAGCTCCAGCCAGAAGGTTCCAGGCATGAGGTGCCAATCACGACCTCCATTCCTTGCCAACCTAAACCACAGTGTCACCTAACACTGCCAGGTAGCCAGCCCAAGGCAAGGGGAGAGGACGCCTTGCTCTCGGTGACTGACAATCAAGGTAAGAGGGGGGCCTGCAGGGTCTACAGGGGCAAGGTTAGCAGGAGCCCAGGGCACACATATTCACTTGGGCCTCCCTGTGACGGTCAGGTCTCCGTGCTGCCTGCGGCATCATGCTCAGGGATGGTGGCCACTGCAATGGCTTTACTGCACATCTTCAGGATGCAGAAACAGAGGGGCGATGCCCCGTGAGAAACACAATCAGTCGCCCCTGCGTCTCTCTTGGCTTGGCCCTGCGTTCCAAAGACACAGCTCAGGGAAGATCAAGGTCAACATGGGGGTAGGGATTGTATCAATTTATCAATAAAACCTTCAAATTCCACCAGGCATGTTGGCCCATGCCTTTAATCCCAGCACTCAGGAGGCAGAGGCAGGCGGATCTCTGTGAGTTTGAGGCCAGCCTGGTCTACAAAAAGTGAGTTCCAAGACAGGCAGGGCTACACAGAGAAACTCTGTCTCCAAAAACCAAGGGAAAAAAACCTTCAAATTCCATGGCCTGTGGTTTGATTTTTTTTTTTTTTTAACCAGAAGAAAAAAGAGTTTATTTCAGTAAGTGAATCAGAAAATGTTTGAGAAAGCACCCCCCCCCCCCCAAGACAGGGTTATTCTGTGTATCCTTGGATGTCCTGGACTCAATTTGTAGCCCAGGCTGGTCTCGATCTCACAGAGATCCACCTGCCTCTGCCTCTCTGAGTTCTGGGATCACAGGTGTGTACCATTCTGCCCATCAAGAAAGCACATTACAATAATAATTATTAGCATGCCTGTAATCCTAGCACTCGGGAGGCAGAGGTGGGTGGATCTTTGTGAGTTCAAGGCCAGTCTGGTTCCACAACAGCCAGGGCTACCCAGAGAAACCCTGTCTTGAAAAACAAAACCAAAAAATGGTATTGTGGTCAGCAGTTGACCATACACTCCTGAAAGCAGATTTCTACAGCTAGAGAGTTCCAGGTCTCCATGTCTGCCATTATCAACTGCTTACCTTCTTTCCTGATTACGACATTTGCCAGTTCCTTCTCCAGTCCCTGCTTTAGCCTTTTGCTTCCTGGGCTGTATGCATCTAGTACCCCTGGCCATGTCATACCGGGAATCAAACTCCGGTTGTCAAGCTTAGCAGTGGGTGCTTATTTTGTTTTTGAGACTGTGTCTTGCTATGTAGACCAGCTGCCCGGACCTTCAGAGTGCTGGGAATGATGCCAGTGTTGTTTAATATTTATTTTTATGTATATGAATGCATGTACACTCGCATGCCAGAAGAGGGCACTGCATCTCATTATAGATGGTTGTGGGCCACTGTGTGGCTGCTGGGAATTCAACTCAGGATCTCTGGAAGAGCAGACAAGTGCTCTTAACCACCGAGCCATCACCTCTCCAGCCCCACGCCAGGGTTTTTATTAGTTTGTTTTCTGTTTTTCCTTTTTAAAAATCAGGCTGATCTCAAACCTGGGTTGTGCAGAAGAGCATGACTTTGAACTTCTGATCCTGCTGCATCCATTTCCAAAGTGTTGAAACTGCACGTGTACACCACCACACCTAATTTTTGTCTGTGGTTTGTTTTTCCCTTTGAGACGAGATCCCTATGAACCTGGGGATGACATCAGAAGATCTGTCTTCACCTCCCAAGGGCTGGGATTACCGGCCTCACAGACCGTGTAGGGGATCTAACTCCGACCCTCCCCTCCAACTTGCTCCGCGTTTCCTTGCTGCAGCTCCACCCTTCTGCTCAATGACCGAGAGTCAGGGGAGGGGGCGGCGCTCGCGGTGCTGTTCCAGCCAATATGCGCAAGGAGGCCGGGGAAGAGGCGGGGCTTCCACCAACCA